AGAAATTACCGGCTTTGAAAGACACAAAAAATATATAGCTCATATACACCTACTTGAGAATTATGAAGTGGAAGATGATGCTTTGTGGCAGCAGCAAGTTATTTTGCATAATGTATTTAAATAGAATACGGTTGGTGGATTGTAAGTTTCTTTTTTGCGAAGACATGTAAAGTATGTACAAATATAAAATAGAAGGAATTTTTAAATGAAGGGAAAGTGTAAAACAACCCCCACCCTGTATTTTAATAACATACACACGTGCATTGAATATTATAATATTTTCGTATTTCGATTCTCTGTTTTATATTGTTTTCCCTATTAGACCCGTTCCCTCTACCACACTTATCCTTCAATCCCTCGATATACAATTTAATACTTGATAATAATTATTTTTGCATTATTGCCGATTCAATATTTATTTAATTTATCAACACAAAAATATTTACCTGAATTAAATCCCCCACAGGGTTTGAGTCCAATGTAAACATTAAGTTATTCAAAATACAACAACAACAAGAATGTAATTATTTGAAACTTTGTAAGAGTTGCAACAAACAAACATTTATCTAATGCAGTCAGAATTCAATTCCAATAGTCGCTACCCCCACCCCCATACGATAGAAATCCAATTACATCGGTGGGACAGGCTGCAAACTAATAACAACAACAAAAACACTGTTTAAATGCCTATCTTAAATATAAATATTATCGTTTATCGACAATGTCATAATATTTACATAGGCGACGGTGGCGGCATAAAAATAAAACATCAACGGTAGCGACATGACAAAGAACGATGTCGACGACAGCAACAAATTAAATACTAATTATACGCAATTGGTTTTTTGTACTTTTTGCTTCTGTTCTTCTTTTGCGTTTCTATTTTTTCGCGGTTGCGTTTAATCTATAGCATTTTCTTTTCAATTATAACCTTGACTCCCTTATCATCAGTTTGATTGTCAACAATTAGACATGACATGAAAATAAATGGTTTTGTATAATTTTTATACCCTCAACCTTAAAGCTTTGTTAATATAGGGTTTAGATTCAGGTGTCATTGGTCAAGTCCGTTTTAAGACCAGTAAGGAAAGTAGTAATTCCAACACATGCCATTCTGCAACCTATTCTATATTTTGTAAATAGATTTAAAGCTAACTTTACGCACGCGCGCTTTACGCACTGTTTAAACCGTAATATCAATCAGGCACCCATTGATTATTTGGTGTACAATCAACTTGAATAGGTCGAAATTATATATGAAAGCTATGCTATATCTAAATCTGAACCGATTTCAAGGAAACTTGCCAGATTCATATAAATTTATTTATATTAATTTCTGTACGTTTTGTCAATCGACCTAGCTATTGGTCCTTAGTGCGCCATTTACTTAAAATCGGACGAAAGTATATAGGAGCTATATGTAAATCTGAACCAATTTTGAGTGCCGATCGGCCAAACTCGGGTAGGCCAAATATATATAGGGTCTTTGGTGCATCGATTACATTAAATCGGACGAGCTATATTTAAATCTGAACCGATTCTAGACACACACACGTCATTCTAGACACAATTCAGTACAAAATTTTCCGCAAATCGAAATATATATATAGGGACTTTGGTGCACCATTTACATCAAATCTAACGAAAATATATATGGAAGCTATATCTAAATCTAAACCGATTTTCGCGAAATTTAAGGCACGTCATTCTGGACCTAATTTAGTTCTCTATGTCAAATTTCGTGCGAATTGAAAGATATAAAGGGACTTTGGTGCCTCATTTACCTTAAATCGGACGAAAATATATATGGATTTTCGTGATTCTATGCATATTCTCAAAAGGAACCTTGTGTCTATCTCGTTTCCCTTTGCCTGTTACAAACATATGCACAAAGACATAATAACCTGTACCACAGTGTGGTGAAGGGTATTTGCAAATACATTGCAAAACTTTTTCCAAACCTTTCTCAAGTTCGAAAATATATAATTCACTCTTTTTTTGTAACTCATCCACAAAATGAACAACATTTCGAAGAAAATGGACGACCGGTCCCACCTTCGCACTTGAGTTCGGTTTGGTAAAGATAATAGGAGGTACCATAAGGAGTGGACCAATGCGTCCTTTCTTCGAACATCATATAGGCTTGGCAAAAATAATAGATTGTACAATGTTTGATTTATATCGGGCAGCCGTTGGCTTAAACTTATTTTGGAAGAAATGTTATGAGGGGCAAAGAAGAAAGAACAAGAAAAACGTGGTAGTGAGAAAATCGAGATGTGCAAGAGTCAGAATGAAGTCCGGAAATTTAAGCAACCAGTAAAACACCAAACAGAAGGCTTTGGCGCATGTAAATCTTCCTGTAGGAATGAAGAAGGAAACCTGGTGACAGATCTGGATGGAGCATTTTGCAAAGGTTCTGGTATCAAATAGTATCGTTGAAGAAGGTACCGCAGAACCAATAGGCAATAACAGTATAGATAGTATAACACCTAGCCAAAATGAGGTCGAAATAGTAATTAATCGGCGGATGAATAATAAGGCAGCTGTATTAAAGCGATAGATTACCAGCCGAACTATTCACGACCAGTGGTCAGATGCTGGTCAGGTGCATACACAAACTAATTAGTACAATTTGGCTAGAGGAATGCATGCACAATGATCTTGTATCCCGTGCACAAAAAATGAGACAAGACGATATGTGTCAAATATAGAGGAATAATTCTCCTTCCCATCGCATATAAAGTGCTATCCAGCGTGCTGTGTGAACGACTGAAGCCAATTGTCAACGATATTATTGGACCGTACCAATGCGGCTTCAGGCCTGGCAAATTCATAATTAACCAGATGTTCACTCTGCGCCAATCCTGGAAAAGACCGACGTAAAACACATCGACACATTTTACCTCTTCGTCGAATATAATGCCGCATTCGTTAGCCCTATCCGTTCAGAGGTAGGCAATGCAGGTTAACTATAACTGGTACAATGTCTGCATTTAAAGTCTGAAAGGGCCAATCGGAGCCCTTCAATACCGAACGAGGATTCAGACAAGGTGACACTTTGTCGTGTCACTTGTTTACCATCCTGCTGAATAATGTCATACGAGAGGCAAAGGTGAACAAAATTGATACTCTGTATACTAAACAGTTACTCGCCTACGCCGATGACATCGACATAATGGGTCGAACATTTCGAGCGGTAACAGCCATCTTTGAACGAATTGAGAAGGAGTCTGCAATGTGGGACTGGCAGTAAGTGGCGAGAAGACCAAGCTGATGTTGTCATCGCGCAAGATGCCCAGTAGTCTCGACCCAACTGTGGAACTTGAGAACTACAGCTTCGAGGTAGTCAAAGATTTTATGTACCTTGATACCGCCACAAACAAAATTAATGACATCGTTTTGAAATTCGGAAATAGTGTTGGCCAACAGATGCTACTATAGTCTAAGTAAGCAATTTAGAAACAAAGCAACCTCTCGTCAGACCTAACTCACACTCTACAAGACGCCGATACTATCCGTGCTGTTGTATGGATCTGAAGCATGGGTACTTGGGCAAACAGTTGCGTGTTTGGAAGAAAAAATCTCCGGAAGATCTATGGGCCGATCTGCGTTGACGATGAATATCGTCGTTGAATGAACCATGAGCTGCATCATATATTGTCGGTCATCGACATAGTCAGAAGGATCGAGCTGCAGCCACTACGTTGGCTAGGTCATGTCCTGATAATGGATGAGGATGCCCAAGCACAAAAGGTATATAAAAGCGAGCCAACAGATGACTCACGTAGAAGTTCGATGGAAAGATTAAGTCGAAGACAACATCTCGGTACATGGTCTTTCAAGTTGGAAGAGCTGCGCACAATACTGACGCGCCTAGAAATCATCATTTTTTGGTAGAAAGAGCTGCTACCCAATAAGTGTCAAGTGTCATGACTTTACCAAAACGGGGATAGACAGTACAATTTTTGAAAGATCTATCTTAAATATTGGGAGCTCGATAATAATTTATCAATGGGCATGGCTAATAGACTCATTACCATCAAGAAAATATATACTTCATGGTATCTCCGATGACAATTTCGAGGTGTTGCAAAGGGAAAGACAAATCTAAATTTTCTATGAAATTTCTATGAAAAAAATTGCTAATATTTTTTGAAATTTTTGTCCTAAATTGGCGTCACATATGCGGAATATATATTATATATACCGATTTCTCTTGTTCAGTGACTTATACTAAAATATGATGGAAAACATTTGTATCCTTTTATCATCCTTCTAAAACGACATATTGATACAAACTCAGAATAAGATCGGTTTTAACCCTAAAATGAGGTCTCATACTTTGAAGATTTTTTTAGTTTTGGTCTATTCTATTTTGAAACTTATAGTAAAACTTTAGAACGAACATTTATGTAGAATATTCTGACTTGCTATAATCCCGTTTTAAATGAGTTCTCAATCATTTCTGGCTTAAAGGACTGAAAAGACACCTTCACAGAATCGACTGAGGACAAAACTATTGCTCATACTTATTTTGTGAAAGGATTTCAAGAAATCTTAATCCGAATATTTTGAAATGGCATGGAAATATTGCCATGATACACGTGACTTCTATATTTAGCCCCTCTATCATATTTTTCGGAATACCCCGATAGTTATAAAAAAATGAGATTTGTTGCTTAAAATAATGATGAGAGGATGTCTCCAGATAACTACACCAGTTTCCTTTTTTCTCGCTGCTTCTATTAAGTTCACCCCGGCTTCCCATATCTTCATTTAATTTTCTTCGAATACAATCGAAGATGATTTTGAGAGAAACTCTTCTTATGACATCGTTACAAGGAGGTAATTCCAATCATACACATGCTATTAAATAACTTGTTTTAAATTTTCCCTTCATTATATCAAATATCATAATTTTCAAATCGATGAACATTCATAATTAACTTATTAACAGATAAAGCAAATATTACAAAGACAATCTCATAATTTACAACAATTTAATTTTCCTCACGAATTTCCCGAAAACGTAAATCCAAAAACAAATACTTTATAACCTCATTAGAAGTACCCATCCACCTAACTACAGGCTACAATACAGTAACAAACACAATAAAATCACAATCGACTTACCGCACACTTTGGCAAAGGACCTTCAGGCATTTTCACCTTCCAACCCAACAGCGGTGGTATGCATATCAGCGCCGACATTATCCAAACGGCTGCAATCATTAAAGCTGCACGTGCCGGTGTACGTGATTTTAAATAATCCACCGCCTTCGTTATGCTCCAATAGCGATCCAGCGATATCAGACACAAATTCATTATGGACGAGGTGCACAACAACACATCCATGGCCGAGTGGATGTCACACCACCACGACCCGAATATCCAATAACCCATCAATTCGTTGGCTAGCGAAAAGGGCATAATGATGAGGCCCAAAAAGAAATCGGCCACCGCCAGCGAGGCAATAAACCAATTCTGGATGTTCTTCAATGATTTCTCTGTGGCGATGGCAATAATGACCAGCATGTTGCCCACAATTATAATGATCATGAGTATGGTGACGATAATCGATGCTATCACAATGTGTGTTAGGGTATAGCCGCTGGGATAACGTCCGTCCCAGTGGACTTCGGTGATATTGCTCGTAAGATTGCCACCAAATGTCTGATTGAAATAGTTGCCGAATTGGGTGGTGGTGGAGGAGGTAAGATTTATGGTAGGAGATGCGGCTGCTGCCGCCGATGCAGCCGAGGTATTATAGAAACTGGAGGAGAGCAGGAAGAGTGTGTCGTTAAGATCTGCTGTGGGGTTGGGAGCGGTGGGCCCAAACACGGTGTCAATTAAACTGGTGACAGTGTATTGGCCATCGATGGTAACGAGGGGCGGATTCATAGTTGCTGTATGATTTAGAACTCCACCGCCCTTGAGGCCGCCACCACCACCAGGGCCACCACCGGCCTCATTTGTTATTGCTGTTGTGGCCGCTGTGGAAGATGTAAATATGGCCAAAAAATCATCGGTGCTGATGTTGCCCGTATTAATGCTCTGATCCAATTCGGTATTGTAATCCATGGCGAATGCAAGTAAATTGTTTTGGAAGCTGTTGGTGAATTTGGTGTTTGTTGTTTTTTTTTTTTTTTTTAATTTGAATTTAATTTCAATTTTCGTTTGTTTTCAACTTTTGTTTTATTTCAATTATGTGCCAAATTTCATAATTTTGAATTTTTTGTTATGTTTACACTACATTTAGTTGGTCCCACCAACGGAGTTGTTGTTCAACATTTCAACTCGTGGCTTGTTTTTCGCATTCATTTTTTTTTCAATTTTAGATATAAATTGGTTTTTAATTTTTTTGGTTGTTTGTTTTTTTATATTATTTTTTTCTTCCTTATCGATAAAGCGTTTGGATTCTGTTTATTTATAATTGTTGTTTAAAATTACACATTTGTTTTTTTGCAATTAACACTATTTTTAAACATTTCAATTTATTTATATTACAATAGTTGGGTGTGTGTGTTTTCTTAATTTTTTTTTTTTTTTTTATTTGAGAATTTTGTTGGTGGATTTTTTCACTTAAACATTTAATGGGCTATTCTTTTTAAGTGGAAATTTGTTTACATTTTCTTTTAGTTGTTTTTTGTTGTTGTTTTCGTTCACTTATATTTTGATTATTATTCACTTTTACTAAACTAAACAATTCCATAGGCTGAAATTCATTGCCATTTGTTGTTGTTATTATTAGTAATTTTTTGCTGTTTTGATTTTTTTCGGTTTATTAGGTTGCTCCATGCAGCTGGACACACTGAAATTCAACTGGAAAATAAAAAAATACATTTAATAAAGACTTTTTTGTAAAATTTATTTAGGTAATGATTTAAAAATTAGATAAATATAGTTTTCAGTTAGTTCTAATTTTTAAGAAATGCGGTATAATATTAGGTTGGGGAAAAAGAAATCCATTATTTTTCGTACAGATGGCTGTACTGATAGATTTCTAAATTATCGACCAAACAAATTCAGATTTATGCTCGTTGGAAGAGGACTACATTTCGCACTAACGAAATTATTTTGCTGTTTTTTTATTTGGTGCATTAGGACTCTGGT